TTTTTACAAAAATAGTATTTTAAGTAGTTATTTTAACATACAAATATATGTAGGGCCCAAAGCAAGTTGTGTAACCTCTATATCCCTCAAGGCCCTCATTTTTTAGGGTTAAAAATTTTATACCCTAACCCACCCCACTACGATGTGGTTTAGAGCTAGCCCACGGTGGGGCGGGCTAGCCCTTATTGCACCACTACATAGAAGCTTTATCTCGCGCATAGGGGATGCAAATCAAATCATAAAATGAGCCAGAAAATACTTGATTCATGTTATGCTAACTTACCAAAAAGTGAGATTGAGGCCCAACTTTTCGATCAAACTCAGAAATTAGGTTTTAATTCTCGGGTTGTAACTATTCGGGTGTACTTTTTGGAGTGTCGTTCTAGAAGCGTTAATTCTGATCCATTGTGTTAAATTCTAGATTAATGTTCTCGGTTTCAAAGGTTACAAATCTGATTTAAATTCAGATATTAAATATCATTTGTTAAAGCTAATTACTTTACCATTCCTTATAAATACTAAGTGTTGGTATATTGATTTTCTATTGGTTTTTAACTTATCATAACTTTGTTGATTTTCTTTTGAGTAAATGCCATATGGAGTCCCTCGACTATTGCGATTTAGTTAAAAAGGTCCTATGTTTAGCGTTAGTTGTCTATCAAATCTAGAGACAGTCATTTTTTCAAGCATTGGTGCATTGAATAAATTATGTTAAGGTCACTCATCGATCTAGAGAACCTCAAATGTATCAATCTGGAGAACCTCAAATAGTACCACAAGTTATCACCACCTATCCATCTCAATTTGCTTTCGTTTCATTCCTCTGTACAAAGATTCAATCGCAATTGCTGCATTTGGCGTCATGATGAAGCGCATTCTATGGATCTTGACGGTAAACAACGTTGTTCCGTGGATCTTGACGGTGGCGTCTAGGTTGACGGATTGGTAGTTCGCTAGAACTTTAACATTAGTAATGGGGTAGAAATTAGGGGATGGACTACGTTTCCTAGGAGAGCCATCGTGAGAGGCATATCTCTGCTTTACAACAAAACCATTTCAGTTTACAACTCAACTGAGCTAGTAGCCCAAGTCCTTGATCCAAGATCAACCATTCTCATATACCAAATATCATATGAAGCAGATTTCTCCACCCATATGGGCTACGTCACAGAGGCTAGGCTCCGTGCTGAAATCTTCATCAATGACGATACAACTATTTTCATATTTGTCAATTTTCCTAACCCAGGAGTCGTCATTAGCCTAGTAGAAAGGAAGCGGGTGATCATGTACGCCAAGAAAGGAAACTACCTGTGAGCCACCATCACATTCCAGGAGATATATTTTGAAACAAGCTCGCCTATACCGCTTCCGCATCCTCTTCCAGAAGCCCTTCTCCAAACTACCTCTTAATTTCCAAGCCAGATATAATGGCGCCGAGAGTGTTGGGGTGGAAGTGGGAAGAAGAGGCGGTGAATCGGAGGTGGAAAGAGTAAAGAGGAGAGTGAGGAAGATGAGAAGGGCGCATTGTTGATTTTTTGCAGTAGCAAATCAAGTATGGTGTGAAATCAACGGATGTCGAAGAGACGCACAGTATTAGAGGTTGACTGGTTGTATATATGGAAATTAAAGGTGAAGGTCTAACTCTTATGTGTCTTCTCTTTCCATTGTAGACACTATTTTATGCAACACAAATAGCAGTTTGTGAATCACAATGCATAGGAACATCGGGTGCTGGACACCCCTACAATGGCACGTCTGCCAGCAAGTTCCTTAGCCATTCGGCTTCTTGGCTTGCCAGATCTAGAGCTATAAACTTGGCTTTCATGGTTGATCTGGCAATGCACGATTGTTTGGTTGACTTCCATGATATTGCTGCTTCACACATAATGAATACGTATCCACTAGTTAAGCTTACATCATCATTGTCATTTACCCAATTTGCATCGCAGTACCCTTCTAGCACAACTGGGTATCCTTTATAATTAAGACCCCAGTCTATTGTGCCTCTGAGGTATCGAAGTACCCTTCTCAAAGCATCCCAATGAGGGGTACTTGGGTTGTGGGTATAGCGACTAAGCTTATTTACTGCAAATGCAATATCAGGTCTCGTGTAGTTCATTAAGAACATTAGACCTCCAATTACCTTAGCATACTCTTCTTGAGACACACTTGTCTCTGCATTCTTTGACAGTTTGATATTAGGATCAAAAGGGGTTTTTGCCGGGGTCACATCAAAACTGTCAAACTTCTTCAGAAGTTTCTCTGTATAATGGCTTTGAGATAAAAGATAACCTTTCTCAGTTTTGGTAACTTTTATCCCTAGGATCACATCAGCTTCCCCTAGATCCTTCATATCAAACTTGTCACATAGAGTCCTTTTAGTCTCATTTATAGCCTCAATATTTTTGCTAAAAATCAACATGTCATCTACATAGAGACAGATAATTACAATGTTAGACTTTATCTCTTTAGTGTATAGGCAGACATCTGACCGGTTAGTAGAATAACCCAAATCTAATAAGGTTTTATGAAATTTTTCATACCATTGCTTAGGGGCTTGTTTTAAGCCATATAGAGATCTTTTGAGTCTGCATACTTTCCCTTCTTGACCTAGATCAACACATCCAGGAGGTTGTTCCATGTAGATTTCTTCTTCTAATTCACCATTGAGAAATGTTGTTTTTACATCCATTTGCTGAACTATCAACCTGTGTAAAGAAGCCAAAGCAAAAAAGGACACGAATGGTTGCTACCTTTGTCACGGGTGAGTATGTAAAAAAGTAATCCTCACCGAATTTCTGTGTGTAGCCTTTGGCTACTAGCCTAACTTTGAATCTTTCAATTGAGCCGTCTGGTCTCAATTTCCTTTTGAAGATCCATTTGCAGCCAATTGGTTTGCAACCCTTGGGTAGATTGACCAATTCCCACGTGTGATTAGACTGTATTGAATCTAATTCACTTTTAACTGCTTCTCTCCACAAAGTAGAATCAACCGAGCGCATGGCCTCTTCAAAGGTTTTTGGTTCTTCTTCCAAGACTAATTGACATATAGATTGATCACAAAGTTCATTTAAGTCTTTCAATTTTGTCACATATGTTATAAAATCAGAACCAAAATTTTTCTCGATTCTAGGCCTTTTACTTCTTCTAGGTTCCTCAGTAATAGATGGGAAACTGGGAAACAAGGCAATAGATTTTTGTTGAAGTCTATTAGTAGTTGAATCATAAACAACCTTCAATGGGAATATGTGTTCAAAGAAAACAGCATTTCTTGACTCGCACATAGTACGATTTTCCAAACACATGAATCTATATGCAGCACTATTTTCAGCATACCCAACAGGTATGACATCTAAGGTTTTAGGTGTCAGATTAGGCTTTTTGAAGGACGGTAGTCCCACCTTTGCCAAGTAGCCACATACTTTAAAGTATTTAAGATTAGGGGCATGCCATTTCCATAACTCATAAGGGGTTTTTTCGAACTCTTTATGCGGGACTCTATTTTGGATGTGGTTTGCTGTTAAAGCAGCTTCCCCCCACAAATATTCTGGAGCACCTGAACTGATCAACATTGCATTGATCATTTCCATGAGAGTTCTATTTTTCTCTCCGCTATGCCATTTTGTTGGGGAGTATACGGTGCAGTTACTTCATGTATAATGCCAGATGATTCACACAATTTTTTGAGGAAATTGGTTGCATATTATCCCCCTCTATCGGATCTAAGCCTTTTAATCCTTTTGTCTAGCTGATTTTCTACTTCAGTTTTAAAAACCACGAATTTTTGTTCGACTTCATCTTTTGATCTCAATAAGTAAATTTTAGTAAAGCGAGAGAAATCATCAATAAACGTAATATAATAACGTTTTCCACATTTACTTTCAGTGTTTTTAAAATCACCTAGATTAGTGTGAATTAGTTCTAACACATTTGAAGTGCGATTAATCACAGTTGAAAATGATTTTCTAGCAAATTTCGCTTCAGAGTAAGTTTCACATTGTGTGCATACATCACTGGACAAGTTTGGTAACAGATTCATGTTTTCCAGTCTATTTAAACATTTTGTACCAATATGTCCTAGCCTACCATTCCAAACATCAACTGAAACAGTAATATACGCAAAAGAAGAAGCATTATTATTGTCATTGTTTGGTCCATGCCAATTTGGGATGAAATCATAAGTGGTAAGGGGATGATCATTTACAACGGGATGATTTCTAACTACACAGACATCTAGCACAAAAAGACATGCACGCACATATCCTTTCCCAAGGAATTTCCCACAACGAGTCATAACCATCCGGTCAAACTCAAAAACCATCTTAATTCCAGCCTTGTCTTGCAGGCCTCCGGAAATTAAGTTTCTACGAAGGGAAGGAACATATAACACATTGTGCAACAATAATTTCTTTTCAGAATGAAGCATTAACTCTACTTTTCCTCGACCACTTACCTCGGAAACACTAGAGTTCCCCATATATACTTGTTCTCCTCTAGTGATAGGCTCGAACACTTTGAACAGGTCCTTATTGGTGCAGAAGTGGCGTGAGGCTCCTGTGTCCACAACCCATTCGTCAGGATCTCCCACCATGTTTGCCTCGGTTATCACGGCTGCAACTATGTCAGAATTTTCCGTGTTTTTCAACAGGTGAGCTTGATTCTTGGGGCTATCATTGGTTGGCTTTTGACCATTCTGGTTCGTGGACCCTTTGCGGTGAAAGCATTGAGCAGCCCGATGGCCTCGTTTGCCACAAACGAAGCATTCACCATTATTCTTCCTTTTTTTTTTCTGATTTTTCCCATTCTTGAAACGATTAGAGTTGTTGGGTTTTAAGTGTTTCTTTTGATTTCTACTGGTTTCGCCAGACTTTGGCCTGTCAACACCAACATTTGTTTCAACTACATTAGTCTTAATATTATCAGAAATAGTAGCTGACCTGAGTACGGTACGATTTTCTTCTTCGATATTCAGGCTATTGATTATCTGTTGTAGAGTGTAGTCTCTTCGTTCGTGCTTCATTTTGTTTTTGAAGTCAACCCATGACTCAGGCAGCTTGTCTATTAGTGAATCAGTCAGGAACACATCATTTACTACAGCGCTTCTGCCTTCATGTCTGCAACGAGATTCTCAAAATCATGTACCTATTCAATGACTAGTTTGGAGTCCGTCACCATGAAGTGCAACCAGCGTCCTACGACATATTTTCGCCTTCCTGCATCGTCAACACCATATTTTTCCTCAATTAAATCCCAAATTACGTTTGCTAATTTGTGAGGTGAAAACATGTCAAACAAAGCGTTCGTGACACACTGTAGTATGGTCGCGTGAGCAGTCTTGTTATCCTTTTCATACTTTGCGCAAGTTGTTTGGGAAACGGACGAAGCCACTTCTTCGAAGCTGTCGAAGACTTGGGATCGACAATAGCATCTGATGCAGTCTTTTGCAACTCCTTGGCAGATTGAACAGGTGACTGAACATCAGGCACCTTTAACTTCTCAGGGTCTTCAAAAATCACATAGTCCACATCTTTGGACTCTAGCAGCATTATGATTTTTGCAACCCACCACTTGTAGTTTAAACTACCAGTCAATGGTTTAATAACAGCAACATGAGAAGCTTGGTTGGATGTCTGAGACATAGTTGATTTCTAATAAACGCTTTTAACTGTTGATTTTTTGCAGTAACAAAACAAGTATGGTGTGAAATCAACGGATGTCGAAGAGACGCACAGTATTAGAGGTTTGCTAGTTGTATATGTGACACCCCGAAATCCAAATTCGATTAAGGGATTAATTAAATAATTAATCTTATTTCAATTGGTGATTTAATTCTTAAAAATCCTGAAAATTCAATAGTCGGGGACTAGTAATTGACTAGTCAACCCCAAAGTCAATGTTGTACCTTAAGCTTTGTAAGGAGTTCCCTTGTTCCCTTACACTTCTTTATGTTAGTAAGGGTATTCTTGACTTTTCACCTTGTGTTAGTATTGTAAGCTAACCTAGTAGAACACCCTCATTTCTCTCCTTACACTTTCCAAATTCTAGCTCCACCTTCTCTCTAAAAAGGTAGATAGCTTTTTTTCCAAGCCAAGTCGAAGCTTTGTCAAAACTTCAAGAGTTGTCTCCAAGATTCTACCTTTCATACATTTGGGCATCTAGGAGGGTAATATCTATGTTCATCTTGTGTTTTTAGTGTTCTCTAAGGTGTCTTTTCTTAAAGATAGAATCTTTATGATCTTTTGGTGTGTTTTTGAAGTGGGTTTGGAAGGTGAGCCTTATTAGGAGCTTGGTGAAGTGTTAAGTGAAGGTTTTTGTCTTCAAGAGGTAACCCATGCTCTACAAAATCTATTTTGCTTACCTATGTGATGATTTCTTGGATTCTACATGTGATTTTGCTATGAAATATGAGTGTTTATGCATTATCTTGTGAAAATGCATATCTAGAGCTTGTGTTTAGGGTTCATTTATGCCATTGCTTGGCTATTCCTTTGCTTCAAGTCATTTTGTTGTATTTGGTGAGATTTGGCATGTTTTGGACATGAATTTGAGCTTGGAGTTGAAAATCCCCGAAGGGATTACTTTGTGCAGGTATATGTACCCGCGAGCGGAACGGCGGGCAGTGGCCTACCCGCCGCCCACCCGCGGGGTACATGAGGCCGGTGGGTTTGTACCCGCGGGTCCACCCGCGGGGTACATGTTGATGTTGTTGGGGGATTTGTTCCCTGTGATTCTTTTGACTCAGTATTTGGTCTTTTGACTTCCCGATGTTCTTTTGTGGAACTATTTGAGTGTCTTCTTGATGTTTCGTATGTCTAGAACTATATGGTAGGAATCCATGTAGGTTTTGGTGTGGTGAATCGTGCTAAGTGTTCAACATTGTGTTTCGTTGAACCGTGATGTGTCTTGTGTGTTCTTCGGAACTACGTTTGGTTTACCCGTTTGATAAGCATGCTAGTTTGGTGTTTAAATGCTAGCGTGTGTGTTGTTTGTACCTTCCTATTATTGATGATAACTTGTGTTATTCATCTTTGTTGTTGGACTGTGATCCATTCCTTGATTGAGTATGGTTTCATATCTTCGTTGTGATCCGTTTATTGATTCCTGTTGAGATGTGATGTGTGTGCGGCTGTACCTGGATTACACGATTTCGGTTTATGGGGCCTTAATCACCAAGGTACGGCAGTGGTCCTCGTGGTGGCCATGACGTGATTATGGAGTTTGTGACCTTTGTGTAAGGTTCACGTGTTTCTTGGGTGGCATGTGTTGCCGTGTGTGTGATCGGTACCCTCGTGTACTATGAATCGGTGGTCTTGTTGGTGGTCGTTGGTGAGGGTGATGAACAATATTTATGTTATTATTTTTAATAAACTTTGTTAGAATTAGTAAGGAAATATTTACTTAATTTTGTATTTTCTCTTATTTTAATAAGCATTGTTAAATTAAAGTTTGTGTTTTATTATTATTATTATTATTATTATTATTATTATTATTATTATTATTATTATTATTATTATTATTATTATTATTATTATTATTATTATTATTATTATGTTATGTTTGTTTCCATCCCCAAATAAAAGCCATGAATAGCAGCACTCCAGACTCAGGACGCGAACACCACAACAATACCGCGAAAGACGGAACACCGAGAACGAACGACGCGGACAACACAAACGGTAGAGGCTCCGGTCTTGTGAACGTCCGATTGTTCGGAAGCTTCAATGGCAGTTCTTGATTCAAAGCATTCTGCGGAAGCTCGGACCACAACTTGGAGCGAAATCTCGTGAAAGAATCGAAGGTCCGGAACAGTATAAAAGGGGGGCAAAATGGAAGTGAGGGGATCATCATTTTTCATCACGGAAATTCATCACCTTTCACCAAAAACTTGCTTCAAATACGTCCGTCTGGGCGGAAATTAACTTCGGAAACTCCGGGCAATAATCTGATCCGGTGGCTCGTGAATTCCGGCGGTGCTATCCATTGGCGATCTTGGAAGCATTAATCCGACAGCAAAATTCTGGCGAAAGACTTTTTCGAGCAATCTGGTTCTTTTCTCTTTAAAACTTAATTCTTTAATGTGCCTTGTTTTTCTCTTCCTAAATTTCTGAATTGTAAGCAGCTTAATCCTGGGTTCCTTTTTCATTTTCTCTATCTCTTAATTTGTTGTGATTAGAATTCTTTCAATTCTGAAAACTTTAAACTGTGTTGCAATACTTAATGTTTTATGCTAATTGCATTTACCAATATACTATTAATTATGCTTAGTTGGTAATGTTGTTTTGGTGAAACATTGAACCATTGAACCATTGATGCCAATTATCATTTCTTTCTTGATTATAAAGGACTGTCAATTTCTTTGTTCTAAGAATATAATGAAAAAGCCATGATCCAACAATAACTGCTTTATCTTGATTTATTATTTAATTGTTTAGTTTTTCCTTCTCTTTAATTCATAGTCTCTCTTCGCATTACTTTGCCAAATTCCAAATTGTGAGTACTGCTTTTAATACTGCATTTTTCCAACTCTTAGCTCTTGAAGCATTGATTTTAATTGTTTGGCACTTGAATTGATTCGTACGATTGATTTTTGTTTCTAGCACGTTAAATTATCGAGTTAATTAACTTTAAGATTATAAATTGCATATTATCAATTCCTCTTGGGTTCGACCCTTGCTATTGCACCATATTACTATAGTGATTCGTGCACTTGCGAGGACATTATAACTAAATTGTCCATCAATTTTGGCGCCGTTGCCGGGGAATTGTTTATTTTGCAATTTATTTTCTGTTCTTCCTCGTTTTTCTTATTGTGCAATTTGTTTATTTGGCTTATTTTCCTTTGCTCAATACTACTTATAACATTTATTTCTAATTTGCTTTTTGCTTTACCTATCTTGATTATCTTGTTTCTTTATTTGCTGGCTTATTTTATTTAGTCAAAATATTAATTTATTTACTTGTTTTTGCTATTTTATTCATTCATTCATTTATCTATTTATTTTATGCATGGTCGCCGTTCTTTAAATCCTGAACTATTGCCTTTAGACGATCGCATCAATAGAAAAAAAGAAAAATAGTTTACCTTTAGAACCACAAGAAACAACCACAACCATGGCTGAACTTCCTCCACCTAACCCCAACCCTAGGCCCGTTCCCGACCCTAGGCCCGTTCCTAGGTTGATGAAAGACTTTGGTAGGCCCCAAGTAGGAACTTCACCTTCTTGTATAGTGCTTACCAATGCAGCCAGGAATTATGAGCTGAAAACTATCCATTACAATCAGTTGCCATCTTTTCACGGTTTAGCAACCGAGGATGCCCTTACCTTCGTCCGGGATTTCTACGGGGTAGTCCAAAACTTTCCATTGAATGACCTGCCAGAAGATGAACTAAGGAAGAGGTGTTTCCCGTACACTCTGAGAGATGCGGCAAAATAATGGTTCATGTCTCTAACACCCGGATCCCTTCGGACATGGCCGGAGGTTTACAATAAGTTCATAGGTAAGTTTTATTCTCATGCTAAAACTTCTGAATTAAGAAGAAAAATTGCAAATTTCTCGCAAGCTGAAGGCGAGCCTTTCCATGAGGCATGGGAGAGGTTCAAACTGTTGCTTATTCAATGCCCTCACCATGGTTACCCATTGGAGCTGCAAAATCAAACCTTCTATGATGGTTTGACCCAAACCAGCCAATCAATTGTTGATAATGCGGCTGGAGGTGCCATGGGAGAAAAAACTGCGGAGGAGACCTTAGCATTGTATGAAATGCTAGGAGCAAACTCCCAACAAAAAAGCGTAAGGGGACAGACACCAGGTATGAATGAAGTTAATTCACTTGCTGATTTGAAGAATCAAATGTCTGCGTTATTAGATGAAAAAATGAATAACTTCTGTTCTATGATGGCTATGAAGCAAAATAATGCATATATGGTTGGAGAAAATGATAGTTTTGAACAAGCCAATGCAATGAATAACTTTAATCAAAGGCCCATAAATGACCCGTACTCTAA